GGCAACAGGTGCCAGTGATCTCTGGGAAACGGGGAACCAGAGACGTGTGCCATGACCACCCCTACTCACTGCCAGAGGAGCCCAGCCCCTGAGACCAAGCTCTTGATAGTTCCTGGGATGACGCTCACATGAGGAAGCTAAAACAGGTGCAAAGGCCCCAAGTGGAAGTCCACTCTCTGCTCCTGTGCAGGGCCAGGCCAGGGAGCCGCGTTCCTTACCAGGCCTGGGTCAGAGTCCTCAGGGCAACCCATCCTCACCCGGGGAAATACCCTCTACACCTCGTGGGGCGTTGGTCCTGCCTGACAGATCTGAAATGCAAGGACTGAAAGAATCAGCTCTTTTCAAGTATTTTAATTATATCTAGCACAAAGCCCAAGATGTTTATAGAAATACCAACAACATTCAGAGCCTGGTCAGGGGAGATGCTCATTGTCTGGAACCCGCCAAAAAATATCAGGGAAGCAGGAAAATGTCTTGTGATGTGAGAAAAAGTCAGTGGAAACCAGCCAAGAACTGGCTCAGGTGTTAGAACTGGAAAAAAATGATAAATGGATTCTTTGTGTTTAAAAACGTTGAGTAGAGGCACAGAAGATATATTTTAAAAAACAAAATCAGACGTCTAGAGATGAAAGCTACAGAGTGTGGAAATCCATGGATGAGACTCACAGCAGAGGGGAGAATGCAGATTAGAGGAGTTAGAGACGCAGCTGTGGGCGCTGTCCACAAGCAAACAGGGGAGAAGAATTCCAAGAAGAAAGAGACATCAATTAGCTGGACAGTGACTCCACGGAGACGAGAATGTGCGCACTTGGAGTCCCTGAAGGAGAGGGGAAAGGAGACGACAGGATACCTGAAGATGTAATGATAAAAGCTGAAGGTAGCTAGTTTCATTAGCATCATTCGTCCATTTCTAATTACTGAGCATCTGCCAGGTGCAGGAGAAATACAGGGGAGAAAAGGAACAAAACTCCCACCTTCATTGTTTTTCTACTCTGGAAAAAAACCCCAAAACCAAAATAAGCAGGTGAATATTTTATACAGTACAGCCACTGCACCCTCCAGCTGTGACAACCAACATCTCCAACACTGCCACATGTCCCCTGGAGGAGGGGAACCAGTGACCCATTAGAAGTGAACTTTGCCAGGAGAATAAAAATAAGACAGTGAGCACCAACAGGGCATTCTGGGAAGGAGCTGTGGCTAATTTAAGGTAGAAGGTGAGGAGAGTCCTCAAGAAAAACGTGACATTTGGGAAGGACTTGAAGGACGTGAGGTGGAGTGCTCAGATGCAGGGCAGGCGGAAGCTCAGATGCAAAGGCACTGAGGCAGGAGCCTGTTTGTAGTGTTGAAGAGCTGCGAGAAGGCTGAGGCCATCTCAGTAGAGTGACCAGGGAAGAACACAGGTCAGCAAAGGTGTGGATGGGGATGAATGGGGACCGCTCCCTAGGGATGAGCAGGGTCCTGTAGTCACAAGGGGTAAAGAGTGCTGGACAGGCAGGACCACAGTCACCCACCAATTGTACCTGCTAGGAGTGTGGCCTTGGACATGCTGTTACTCCTCTTTGGACCCCAGTTTCCTCATCTGTGAAATGCTCTTCACAGTCTCTGCAGAGATTAAAGGACGTAGCAGATTCCAGAAGGCACCTGATAACTAAGACTCTGGAATGCTTCATAAAGAAGCACTGTTCAAGAAATACAGGCAATGGGGTGTACACAATTCTAAGTGCTGTACTTCTTGGGAGACTTAAGCTTTGAAAGATCTTCTGAGAATTTATGGATTTAGTATATACTTATATACACTCTTTATGAGGATCTCAGTTTCCCAGCATGACATTGAAGATGACTGCTTTGCTACTTAAATTTTGCATGCAGGGGAAGATGGATGGTAATATTTCAGACGTCCAGTTCCAGCAGTCCTGAGTCAGAATTCCCACATTCTCCTCTCAGACAAGTTGTCGAACCTCTCTGAGCTTCACGTCATTGTTGGAAAAACTGTAAATTGTAACATTTATCTCAGAAAATAGTTGTAAAGATTAAATAACTTGTGTTTAATGCATTTTTTGTACAGTGGCTTGCATTTTGTACAGTGGGTGTTGTGAATGCAAAATATTTGACAATACATATTATTCTATAACATATAATAATATATTAAGATTAGATAATCATATTTGAATCGTATTAGCTCAGAAACTAGAGGACACATGCAGTGCTTCATAATTTGAAATTGCTTTTAATTTAATTGTTTTTGCTAGTTGGATAGTCAACCATATCAGCTTACACGGAGTTTCCAGAATCTTCCTGGAAGTATAACACTGGGATACTGGGCAGAGCTGCCCCACTCCGCTCTCCACCGTTGGAGGAAGTAGTCAACATAGACAGAGATGTCAGGTCTTCCATGGGCTTTTCACCTCACACGCTGAGCACTGTTAAAAGTCCCCACGTAGAAACAAAGGGCTTCCCTTCCATTCTCCTGGAAATTAGGGAACCAACAGCAATGGGGGCGGGGCATGGCTTGGGGAGGCCAGAAACTCAAGGCCTTGGGATGAAGGACAGGACTGCACAGGGGTGGAAGGGAGAGGATGCTCAGGCCAGGTAAGAATGGAGTTGGCCTCCCTCACTCCACCCACCTGCTGACCAAGCTCCACTGCCAGACCACAGCCCCCAGGGTGGCCCCGTCTGCCCTGGACATGTTTAAGGTATCACTGCCACCCCTACTAGTGCACCAGACAGATAATCAGATGCAGACACATACAAGTAGGAAATCTTCCTAGTGAAGTCTTATGATATTTTTTACAAGAGTATTTATCAAGTTATAAAATTTGCATGCCTCTGGATGCAGAAATTTACTTTGGGCCATTTGTTCAAAGAAAAGATACACAGGAGGGATTAAAACTAAAAGTGAAAGATGCCGATAGTAGCAGCCTCTGATACTCCAGATGTGAAACTGTGAATCCTGAAAATGCCCAGCAATAAGGCTACCGTGCAACCAAACCAGGGAATGAAAACCACAGGAGGCGCACAGGAAGGAGGTGATGGGGGCTGGGGCTATAGCTCAGTTAGTAGAGTGCTTGCCTCACATGCACAAGGCCATGGGTTCAATCCCCAGCACCACACACACAAAAAAAAAAAAAAAAAAAGAAGAAGAAAAAAGAAAGAAAGAAAGGATGCAATACCCTCTGTTCTGTTATTACACAAGCAAGTTGATATGAGAGCCCCTCTCATTTATGCAAAATTTCCATTTCTTCCATTTGTTTATTCAGAAGTCAAATAGTACATATTAATAAAATGACTTCTCTGGGCCCTGCTGTCTTCAATACCTGAGAAATCCCTGTCTCTGTTGCACCTCCCTTCTGGCATGATATGGTGGATGGGGCGGTGCTGATCTTGTAAGCAATGATGCCAACAGCAAAGGTGGAGAAGGCAGAAGACAGTGAGCAAAGGAGAGCTTAAGACGGCTCTTTAGGAGTGGACTCCCAGAAAAAGGAGACACTTAAGACTTGAAGGATGAATGCGAATTACTGACAGGCACACAGAGGGACAGAATGTTCCAGACAAAGAGCCGTGAAGTTGGAAATTGCTTGCAGTATTGTGTTAGTCAGGGTTCTCTAGAGGAACAGAATTAACAGGAAGTATGATTATAAAAAATAATTTATTAGATTGGCCTACAGTCCAGAAGATGGAGAGTCCACAATGGCCATCTGCAGGCCGGAGACAGGGAGGAACTAGAAGCGGTGCAGTCCAAGAGGCTAAAGTCTCAGACAAGAAGAATCAACAGTGCTATCCTAGTCCTAGACTGAAGACTTCTAGAAAATCCCTGGCAGAGTCCGCTTTGGAAGAGTGAAGGAGCAAGTCTGATGTCCTCAAATGTTGACAGGAGCAATCAAGAACCTGTTCAAGAAAAATTGAGCTTGCATCTGCTGCTGCTTCCTTGTTCTTCCAACTTTTTTTTTCCATCCAAGCCACCTTCCTATTGGACAGTGCTGCCCACACTTAGGGAGGATCTCCACTTTGGTTTGCTATCCCACATGCCAATCATTCCTAGACACACCCTCCATCGACACGCCCAGAAGCCTCTTAATCTTCAGCATCTCTTAATCCAATCAAGTTGACAATTCAACTTAACCATGACAAGTATGTTTAAGAAACTCCAAGAGAATTCATTCAAAATAAATGGAGAGGGAAAAGCAGCAACTAGTGAGGGGGGGTGGTCTCTGATGTGCGCCATACCTTAAGATGCCCGAGAGGCTGTGTCAGAGTATGGGCCAACTCCCAGGCCAGGGGAGGCCACTGGAGCAGGGAAGGACTGGAGGATGGGGCCTGGGATGTGTAGAATGGATTGAGGGCACTCAGAGCCCAAGCAGACAGGGCTGGGGGCCTTGGCAATCATAAGGCAGAGAGATGACAGGTCTTGCCCAGGGTTGGGGAGGTGCAAAGGGGCAAGGAAGTCAGGTTCAGAATGCATCCTTCCTCCCTAGCAAGTCAGAGGAGAGAATTTATTTGCATGTCACATCCCTGGCCCCGATAAACTCCCAGATCTGCAAAGCAGAACAATTATTTTGAAACACCAGGGTTGGTTGTTTTTTTCTTTCCTTTGGTTGATATGATTCATTACTGCAAAGGTTGTGGGAAGTCAGACAGAGCCATCTCTGGGGCTGATGTACAAATCATTAGTCAAGGTGACCAGGAAGGTGGAAAACATTAGCATCTTACACAGTCTCTTTGCAGAACTGGGAGTGAAGGGGTTTTGTTGGAATGCACCATACACTGCTGTGTTCATTACCCTCTGGCACCAAACAGTGTCCCTCCAACCAACTGCAAATGCTGAATATGTTGGGAAGAGGGGGAAGGGAAGGAAGAGAGACTCTCATAAGCTCCTGATTGTTCTGTACGCCCGTGGGCAGAAGAAGTATGGCTGGAATTGGGGGTAAGGGAGAAAAGGAATTGCTTTGAGAGTCCACATTCAACAAGTCGCAGCTGTGAAAACTCTATTTTGCTCCTAGGACCTAGTTGACAGCAAGGAAACAGAAGGACAAGAGGTTGAAACTTTGAATTACTCTGTCCCTGGGGACCCAGAAGGACTGGAGATTGCAAAGGACGACTCCCAGGCAACAAATACAACAGAGAGTAACAATTCCATCATGAGTTTCTTCAAAACTCTGGTGAGTAGTTTCCTTTCTTTCCCCATTTCTATTGCCCAGAAGCTGTGCTACTTGTAAGTCGTTGAATGCTGCTGTCCTGAATGGATTACCATCCTGGCACAGCTGGAACATGAGAGAACAGAGAGAAAGTGCCTCCTGTGGGGACGTGTTCATCAGGCTTCCAGGGAGAGAGCCCTTGGAGTTGGGAGCCATGACATGGACACTAGGTGCCCAGACCACGTGACATGAGCTGTACTGTAATAGAATCCTATTGCAATTTAATGTCTTATGGTCATTGATCATAAGCAATATTGGGAAATACTGCCTTGAGCTGTTGGCCTAGCAAAGTAATTTTCTCACTCAAATGGCAAGTAAAACGCTGTAGAAATTGCTGTCCATCTTGTGACATCTACCTTTCCCGATTTCATTAGATGGGGACACGGACCATGTCTTTGCTTTGCTTGCTCATTTCTGACCACCCCAGGGCAGAACCCTCTAGCTTGACATATGCCAGACACTCAAAGAAGAGCTGAATGGCTTGATGCATACAAAAAAAAGAACAGCCACAAAAGTGTTTGGGCTATCTGCAGATATCAAGACTAGCTTCAAAAGATAAAATGAAAGAAAAAGTCAACAGAATGTGCCCCTAGCACCACAGGGTTGCCCTGCTTGTGGAGTAATAGTGGATGGAGTCGGTGGGAACTGGGCCTTCCAGGAGACAATTTTGAAAGTGGTCAAACTTATGGTAAATGAAAATAATCTGATGCATTTCATTATTAAATTATAATTTGGTGAGCTTTTTATTATCCAGAGGTCCTTGGGTTTCTACTGAATTAAAAGTGCTTCTTATTTCTTGCTTTGCCAGTGTGGTAAACTGGACCACTCTAAACAGTGATGTAATTATGAAATAAAAATCACCCCAAAGAGCTATGATTTCTAACATTTGATTTTCTCAAACTTTTAAGGTGTCACCTAACAAAGCTGAAACAAAAAAAGATCCAGAAGATACGGTAGGTCCTTTGAAGTATGGGTTTGTGCACAGAATTGGATTTAGAGGTAGTCTGCTTATTTGTTTTCTGTATGATGTGCGTGTCCTTTATATGTTATATATATGTACAGACACATATATGGACATAAATAGTTAGCAACTTAGTGCTGTTGGATTGTCTTTTAAATATATCATTTAGGTTAATGGTATTATAATGAAAATGTAGTGAGTAACTTAAATCATATTACAATTTTTGTTAAATAATATCACAATAACCAATTTCTTTCTTCTTCCCCATTTCTATTGGTGCATTAGAGTTGTACATAATGGCGGGAATAACCGATTTCTTATGTAGAATAAGAGACGAATACTAAAAATTATACCATCATCTTAGTCTTTTTTGTTATGTATAGAGACCCAGGGAATATAGTTTAAAAAGACCCCATTAAAGTAGGAGAAAGATGCAGAGTTTTGTTTTTTGTAAAAAAAAAAGAAAGAAAGAAAGAAAATGTGTTCTTTGTTTCAAAAAAAATAAATCTCTACTGCAAAGACCATTTTGAAATAATATAGTAGCCACGGGACATAGGCCAAGTGGAAAGCCATGTAAGTAGGAGTGGGGAGGCTGGAGTTTCCACTTTCTCCCTAGAAATTCAACCAGTTCTCCTCAAAATAAATGTGACTTGAGCCACTATTTTCTTAGAGGTGTTTTCCCATTGCACTTGACAGGACGGGTCACCTCTGGCGGAGCACATGGTTTAAATTTCATGAGGAACCTCGAGGGAAGGTTAACTTGGTAACAGATAACTGTCTTGTGTCCTTTGAAAGATACTGGGACGAAATAAATGGCTTAGCCCCCCTGCTACATCTGTTGCTTATATCCCGAGGAGCTAAGCCGTGACAAGGCGTGCGAGGTCTGGCCTCAGAAGACCTCTTAGAGCTCAGATTTCGCAACTAGATACTGGTGTGATCCTGACCTGTCTGGATCAAGTCTCCACATATGTAAAACTGGGACAGTAAAACTTTCTCCCAACCCCCGGGACTGAGAGAAGGTGTGATAGGGCAGAGCTCTATTCAAATGTGGGTGACTCCTGCTTCCATGTCACATCCAAGCCAGGTTGGACGGCGTGATTACCTTTGATTTATACTCATTGAGTTCCTCCTTATCCCATTGAAAAGTAGATTTCCAAGGCATCGACATGCATTTTCCTTAAAATTACTCATTTCCTACAAGGCAGCTAGGGTCAAGTTCAATGAATGATTGGGTCAATTGTTTCTCTTTTGGTTCTGTGTTTTGCTTTGTTTGAAGCGACATAGTCAGCACAGTGGCCATAAACAGTGGGGAATGTGGGTGTGTTGTGTGGCTCCCCAAGTGACCTGGGACACTCATTCTCTTCAGCTGCTCTTGTACCAAGACCCTTCCATGACCCAGATGTGCTCCCAACCAAACATGCCTGGCTGATCAGATCTTATGGTCTTCCCCAGAAGGCTGTGGGGTCCCTGCTGCTCACCTGGGTCTCAGATGAGGGCCTTTCATCTAGGTTGTCCTTGACACCCACAGTTAGACCTCTTTCCTAAAACCCTGTTCTCATACCTTGCCCTTTGGACATCTTTTTCTACTCTAGTTCTTGAATTTGCGCCTTTGAAAGGTGTGTAACCTTGTCCCATTTGGTTCCGGGTGATTCTCAGCACACTAAGTACTCACAGAAACTCTCACACTGCTTGTAGCTGGAGTCAACCATGTCCAGTGGCTCAGCAGGACTATTTTAGTCCTTCCCATGTGACAATAGCATTTAGATATTTAACACTATTAAATAGACTATGTTATCTTTTTTAATTATTTACTTTTCATTTGATATTTTACAGTCTAATTACCCTACTACTGTCTTTAGCGAATATGGACAGGGTGGGGAGTGGGTAGTTTAGTTTTGGTTGTAGGGTTTTTTTGAGATGTGTTAATCTGGGTCATTTAAATAGGTCACTCTGTTGAAAAGCAATGTGTGCCTGAAATTGTGAATATGCTCTTTACCAAAGCATCTTAAAAAGATAATGTTCTCGTGTCGTATGGGTGGGAGATGGCAGTAACATGCCAGCAGCTAATTGTCACAGTGTATTCATGCACCTCAAAACAACAGAAAACTAGATTTTGTTTAAAAGCAAAATTCTAAGCCGCGAATGCTGTTGCCCGCAAGGCTTCCAAAGCAGAAAGCATCTGCGATGGGCAAGTGGGTCAGAAGACATCTGAGACCCAGGCGAAGGGCAGCAAGAAGAAGCACCTGGAGAGCCCCCGGCTGGGCCTCGCCTTTAGGAAATTGCTTAGACATAAGGTCTGTATCCCGTTAAACTAGCCGAAAGAAGAACCCTGGTCCTCACCGTGCCAGGCACACAGGCCCTGTGCCCGCCACCTGTGCCTTAGTGAAGACAGAGCCTCCTGTGGCTGAGATCATTAAAGGGAGATTGGAAATGACGTGACTCAACATCAGTGAATGGTTTCAAGTTGCCGTAGCTCTCAACATCGAAGGCGGGGGTTTTTCTGAGAGTGGACCAGGGTTCTGCAGTTACTCTCACCCAGTGTTTCCCAAACGCCAGTCACATGCAAACCGTGTTGGCCACTTTTGTTGGAGGTCATATTAATCACTTGATATTTTTATATAGAAATTGACCATGTCCAGTGAAATGTATCTTAAAAAGAAACTTTGACTTCCATTATACATGAGAACCAGAATCTTCTCCTAAGAGGAGGGTAACCTTTAATAAGGTTCCTTAAAGGATCCTGACTTCATGCTACCTCGTTTGCATGAAGCTCTAGCACAGTGCCCTCGCTAGCTTTACTAGAAAGCCACTGGCCAGTGGTGTAGAATATTAAGGCCACACCAGTACCAGGCTGAGCCTGTCTTTCCCTGGACTGTTATTAGATGATATGAAAGTTGGAAAAGTATTTTACTGTTTGAATGCTACTGAATATCATATTTCCATGCAACCTGACATTACCTCTGGCCCTGCAGTGGTAGGCTGCCTGCATTTTGGGAAACACTCTTCTAACCTGAGGATAACAATTTTACCTTTGTGTGTCTGTTCCATCCATTTCTAGTATTAACAAAGTTTACACTAAATTCACATAAAAGCCCAAGCAAGAAAAAACAAAAGCAATGAATGAAGGCAGAGCGAGTTATTTCTCCATGTGTGTGGTGTGGGGTGGAATCAGGATAATATGAAGCCAGTTTTAGAGATGTTACTCTTCTAATGTCCAAGAATATGCCAGTGTGTGCCTGAAACCATCAATTAAAAAGATCTCTGAATTGGGTCCTCAAGCTTGGAAATTTCTTTAAAATATCAACCATTCTCCATCAAGTTGAATGAACTTATTAAAAAACTTCCCCAGCTGGATATGATAGTCCCAGGATTGTGTATGCAAATAAAAGCCCCACAGAAAGTTCTTGTAGCTGAATCTATATTTGCATAAGCAACACATTATGAAGCCACCCTTCAGTCTCCAGACAGGCTTATTTTGTTCAGTAAAGAAAGAAAGAGAGGGAGCAATAGATATTGCAATGAGGGAGGGAACATTAGGGTGGTGGGGCCACTTGGGCATGTGAGAGCTTAGTAACGGCCAGTGAAACACATCATGGGCTTCATGCCACGGAACCTGGTTTAGCTCCCATGTGGCGCTCTCGTAGAAAGCTTAGGAAGTGTGTGTCTCCCTCGCCAGATCTGCACTTTGTTTGCCTTCATTCTGTATAGATCTCTGTCTATCCATATGTGGACTGTCCAAGTTCAATGTTGTTATTTCTAGGGTTCCCTGAAGTCATTGGCCTTGCATCCTGCCCCTGAGGTACAGTGGGGAGAAGGACAGGATTCAGGACCCTGGGGAAAATGTAGAGGACATCCTTTATATGGATCCCATAATACAAACATGCAGACTTCAAGGTCTCTCCTGGAGGTACCTCCAGTGTGTTCTTTATGTAAATGTGAAATAAAGTAAGGGGACTATTCCCAAATGTTCTGAAATCTCATTTATGCAGCAGTTCAGCTATTACCTCTATCTAGGACAGATTATTTCTTTACATCTTTTGATTATTCAGTTGTACACAGAAAATGGTGTTATTTAAATGACCAACTGGGTCCTATCCATGACTCCCATTGCATAATTAGCAGAGGAGCGGTACCCTGGGGTTCGGTGGGATAATGACCTCAGGCAGAAAAGGGGAATCCAGGCATCAGAGGAGAAAGCGCTACCTTCTAGTTTTGCTGTGAGAAATCTGGTTGACTTCTGTGTTCATTTCTCCAGTGCAATTTTCCTTCCTAAAAAAAAAAAAAAAAAAAAAAAAAATTTTCTTGGTTAAAATAAATGGGGAAGCTGGAATTCATAAACCAAAGGTTTTCCTTTTAAACCAAAATCTGATTCCTTTGCTGAATCGGAGTCTTTGTTTTTGCCTTTGTCGCATAGGAAGCCTCAGAGTGGCACTTCGTCTTGTGTCCTCCAAGCATGCGAGGCAGGTGTGCTTTAAAATGTTCTTGTGCTGCCTGAAACGCTGGCCCTCTCCTGGGCTTTCTCAGGGACGCCTCAGTGAGGTAGCAGGCTCAGGTGATGTCAGCTCTGCCACTCACTCATTGTTTTTTGTAAAGTCTCCATTTTCCTAACACCTCCTCTCTCCCATACTCCATGTGTGAATGACATGAAAACCTACTCAGAAGGTAAGGCCACTTCTGTGTAATATTCCTATCTGCTCCATTAGAGTTTCCTGGGTACAGTCACCAGATAAAATGCAGTGTCCCATTAAATTCAAATTTCAGATTAAAAAAAAAGAAATCATTTTATATAAATTTAAATATGTCCAGCAAGATATTGGGAACATATTGAAGCTAGAAATTTTTTCTTTGCTGATCTGAAATTCAAAGTTAATGGGGCAGTCTATATTTTCATTTTCATTTTAAATCTGGTAACCCCATTCATGAGATTGCCTCTGAAAACATGGTTAGAGTTTTTGTAGCCTTTCCCATAATGCAAACAAAGACTATTAATTTGGCTAATGAACATTTGGATGGACACCATTTGAGGAACTTCTTTGGGACATAAGGAAATGAGTGGGCAGGGATGAAAAGATGAATGGACATTAGAGTCAGGAAGCCGGATACAGCCGCATCCTGTGAGTACCTCACTCTGGCCTCTTTCATTTAGTTAGTCAGTGAGTAAACATCAGTTTGGTGCCAGGATTTGGTCCCAAGTGGAGCTAGGGTGTCATAGAGATCAAGACCCTCTCTCCCTCAAGGGGCTCAAAGTCTAGCAGGGGAGATGCAGAGTCAACCAACGGTTACACAAGTGCATTAGAGGCGTTATGTTACAACCGGATACAGTGGTGCACGCCTGTAATCACAGTGTCTTGGGAGGCTGAGGCAGGAGGATCACAAGTTCAAAGCCAACCTCAGCACTTTAGCAAGGCCCTAACAATTTAGCAAGACACTGTCTCAAAATTAAAAAGGGCTGAGGATGTGGCTCAGTGATTAAGAGCCCCTGGATTCAATTCTAGGTACCAAAAAAGAAAAAAAGAAAGAATTATCATGTTACTGTCATGCCCATGGTCTCTGGGTGCACCCAGCAGGAGGAGAGGGGCACCTCCCAGGGAAGCCCCTCAGGGTAGACGTGTTGCTCAGCCACCCTCCCATCGTCAGCTCCTGCGTGAAGGTTTCTGGACAAGCTCTCCTCACCACATTTCTCCCAGTGGAATTTAATACCACAGACACACTGTGAATCCACTTATGTTCTGGGACCCTTTGCATGGCCACAGACCCTGTTAATGTCCAATCTTGATGATCACCCCCAAGAAAAGGGGTCCCCTTGACAGAGGGGCTAGCGCAGATCCTCCCTGTGATTTCCAGCCACCTCCAGGCCAAAGCAACCATCCCTTCCTGAGTAAAGCCCTCCTGGTTGTCACATGTGGCTGCAATTCTTGCTTTAAGTGTTTGGAAGTGCTTTCTTTTGTCTTTGGGTGGCACCGATCCTCCTACTCCTCCAGCACTTTTCCCACTTGAAATTTCATACCTGTGGAATTATTTATTCACTGTCGTTCTCTCCAAGAGGACGCGTAGCCCTGGTACTCCGCATACGCCATGGCTCGTGGAAAGCACGGAATGTGTTTGTCAATGAATAGATGATATTTCCTAATATTTTTCTGAAAAAAGAAAACAAGCTGCTTAGGAGATGGGTGGGTGCTTCCCCTTGAATTTAATGGCCAGTTAGGGCTAAAATAGTACCAGGGGCCCAAGCACATTTGAAGCATTCTTAATGCTGAATCATAATCGCGAGTTCACTCTCTTTATAATGCAGAAGTTATTTTAAATTCTAGCATTATGCACTTTGCATATCTTGAATGGAACTGGGTTATCCTAGTACCATTTCTACGCTCTACTCCTTTGTCTTGATTTGATCTTAGAGTTTGCTCAGTAAACCACTCAGAACCTGGGCGAGATGTCACATCCTGCACCAGATAGTGGATTCGTGTTACTGAACACACCCTTCAGGGAGCCCACGTGCTGTGTGTGAGCACAGGGACAAGGTCAGCAGTCCAGACATGAGGCCGGGCTACACACCTGGTCCAGTGGATCTCGGGCTTTGCTTTCCTTATCTGAAAATTTAAATACTGTGCCAGATGGACTTTAAGACTCGGTCCAGTACCAAAAATACTATGAAACTTCCTGTATTTGTCCACACCCCATTTTCAACGCCAGACTATTTTTTCTTTTAGTCAGAAAATGTAGTTGAAGATACGACAGCCCTGGGAATTTAAGAGGGTTGAGTCACAAATCGCCCCAGATCCAAAATCATAAAGTGAAGCTGCTTAGGGTGGAGAAGTCAGGTCAGATCAACCTGGTATTAGAGTTTTTAATGCCAGTATTCATTCGTGTCCAGAAAAAAAAAAATGTGACCATCATTCTTTATCCAGTGACTCAACGGGAGACAGAGCATAGGAATTAATAGCACCTCCCTGCAGATATCAGATGTCTTAGGACCAGACTTTAACACAGTCATGTGGGGAGAAAGAGAGAGATAGGGAGGGTGCGAGGAAGATGAGCAAGAAGAGAGGACAGAGTGGGAGGAAGGAGGAGGAGGAGGAGGAGAGAGTAAGGGGAGGGAGGAGAGAGGAAGAGGGAAGAGGGAGGAGGAAAGGGGAGAGAGAGGGAGGAGAGGGAGGGAGGAGGGAAAGGGGGAGAGAGGGAGGAGGGAAAGAACCAGAGATGAGGGGAAGGGGAAGAGGTTAGGAGGGAGAGAGGGAGTTGGGACAAAAGGAGTGACATTGAAGATGTTTCCACTGTGGAGCACGGGGCTGGACCTAAAAGCAGAGAATTCCTTCGTGGACACATGCAGTTCAAAACCCCTTCACCAAGCTCAATCCAGCTGCCTTATACCTCAGAGCTGGATTGTGATCTCCAAAGTGGAGCGCGGGAAAGGAATTTCAGAGGTTCTATTGAATTATATTTATCGTCACCCTTCCTTAACTTTCCATTTGGATTAGTAAACCCACTTATGATGATAGAATATTTCTCAAAAAATGTGCGTGCACTGGGGTGTGTGAAGTGTGTCCCAAGGAGAAGATGATCAAAAGCACTTGGAGCCAGCGCAAAATCCTAGCAGCAAAGTGTCCCTTCCCGCTACCCCTAGAGTCACTCACAGAAGCTACATGAATGATCCTCTGGTTGTTTTCCAAAAGAAAAATATATATATCTCAAATTTCTTCGAGATTTTTAATTCATATTAAAAAATATGAATTAAAAAATTCATATTCACAGTCGAAATTTGGAAAATACAGAAAATTATAAAGAAAAAAATATTACCATTATGTACCACCTGAGCCCAGGGGTACAAAGAAGGGATCTTTCATTTTTGAATCCTCACCCGCTTTTTTAAAACTCTTCAGGATGCTGAGAAGTCACCCACCACTTCGGCCAACCTCAAGTCAGACAAAACCAACTTCACACCCCAGGAGACCCCGGGGACAGCCAGGAGCCCTAAAGGCTGCAGCCCTTCAGGTGCCGCGCAGTCCGTGACCGGGCCTGAAACCTCCAAGGAAGGCAGCAAGGAGAAGTCAGGACCCACCTCTCTGCCTCTGGGCAAACTGTTTTGGAAAAAGGTAAGTTGGATTTTAAAAGTTTGCAGAGTCCTTGGGGCTAAGATGACTTGAGAATCTATTTCTGTTGGTCCAGTTGCTGTACTCAACCAAGTATAGCAGCTTCTCCTCCTCCTCCTCCCCTCCTCCTCCTCTCCTCCTCCTCCCCTCTTCCTCCCCTTCTCCTACCTTCCTCCTCCTCCTCCTCCTCCTCCTCCTCCTCCTCCTCC